AAAAAAAAAAAAAAAAAAATAGAGTTGGAAGGAAAATCATGCCTAATGTCCAATCAGGATTCATCACAGTACTAATTGCCATAAAACATGTTTCCAACAAGTTGGGTCCTTCAAAAGTCATTTGATTCTTAGCCCAACAAACAAAATTAAGTCCTCTCTGAAAAAGCCAGAGTTTGTAAGGTCTAAGTTCACACCTCATGACCAAATAATAAATGGGAGATTTAGTTGGCATCCTACCTTATTATCAGCATTTGATTATTTAAATAATCAACGAGAACATAAAATTTGAAAAGTTCTTTAATTTTAAAAAGGGAGTTACTTTTTGAAGTTGATTGCACGTTAATTTGAAAACATTTGACCTTTAAATAAAGAAGAAAATTAAATCCTCATGGATATCATTTACTTTTTTTTTTTTAAACATTTTGACACGGAACGGGTTCGAAACCCACCCAGGAGAGAGGGAATGCACCTAGCAAGCTGGCTAATGTCAGTGGACCTAGAGGCCCAAGTGCGGATATCATTTACTTTACTAACACAACACAAAGATATTTGTATTTTGGATTTATTTGAATTATATTTTAAGGTCAAAAATTAAGAATATAATAAATATATATAATTAATTTATATAAAAAAACTATAAAAATTTTATTTTATTTTAATATCATTATTACATAAATAATTTTAATAGATTAATTAATTATATTAAAGTTAATATTTATATTTTTTTATAAATTAATTATAAAAAATACAACAAATATACCTTCAATTTATTCTTTAAAGATATTAAAAAAAAAAAACCTTGTATTATTAATTTTTTAAGCCACGGTAAAAATATTTTACACGTGAATATGTTGTTTTTGAAAATAAAATAAATACGGTAGCAAATCCCCTTGGCTAAAATGGGACCTCCTTATCTACTTTTGTACTAACTGTTTTGAAACGTTGTCCTCATGAGTCATGACCTCTATCCTGTTGTATATGCGGATGTAATTGGCAACTCAATTCCCAGGACTATTTCTATCAGCTAATATACAAATTTATCTCTTTCTAAAATAGTATTGAATTCTAGATTATGACCGTTCACTTTTAGTAGATTATCTGTTTGAATCCCATG